TCCCTACACCAGGGGTGTGCTAACCAGGTGAGCCTGTGCAGCAGTTGCCCTAGTCCCAGCACAGGCATCTTCCTCAGGAGGGCTCACAGTAAAACTGCCCTAAACATTAAAAAAGTAGTTGAAAGCTTGTGATTTGTAAGTTCTTTACACTGTGATATAACTCGATACATAAAGCTTCTCTTTTTCTTTTTTAAAGAAGTGGCAGTTACTTAAGAGACAGCATTCTTCCAGATTTTGACCTACCTCACACCATTCCTTTCTCCCTGGACTGTTTTTGACAAAGAGAAATGAAGCATCCCATTTTAATTTCAAAGGTCTCATTTAGTTCCTCTCCTAAAAGAACTTCTTCAAAGGAAGTTGTAAAGCAGTTGTGAGTGCTCCCACCCCCCGTGGTTTATGCTAATAAAGGAACAGTATAGGCAGGAAAGCCCTTCTCACTGTTTGTGAAATACATGTTAACTACCTTGAGAAAACCCTGAGACTTTGTCTCAATGCTTCACTGGGTATTGCCTATTGTTTCTCACCCAAAGAACACTCAAGGAAACATACAATTAAAAAATTTAATATTGAACCAGGCAGTAAGAATGAAAAAAGTCCACTCCCTAGAAGGAGTAACTGTACACAAAATAAATAAGTTACAGTTTAAACAAAAGCACAACTGGCTTTTTAAAGTGCATGTGTATAAGGCTGTTAGCCTGTGAACTCCATTGGCTCAACGTAAAAAAAATTAATTATATACATATAAATCTGTCACATGCATGTAAGTATGAAGAGGGACTGGCTCAGCTCAAAACAAAGCAGCAGCTTCATTGCCTGGAGCCAGCTGTGCTTCACCCAGAGCTGAGTCACAGCCACATTCCTTCTGTGCCTGTTGCACACAGGGAGAAGTGTCTGTGATGGACTATCGCTCCAACTACACACTCATTCCTCAAAAGCTCCATGTTGGATCATTTAGTCTGGACAGTAAAAGAACCCACAAGTTATTTGCAATTAGATATGTTTACACCCTGCAGACAATAGTTTTACATACAAAGCCTGGTCAAGTTGTCAGTAATAACACAGCCAGTAAAAAAATCAAGGACCATTGTTTACAGTCTCGATACCCAGTCGTGTCCACTTAATTTACACTTATTTTTACAGAACCATTTCACGTTTGCTTATTTGTTTTGAAATACGTGGGAAATAAACAGTTCAACTGTGCAATAAAATTAAACAGATACATCATGCTGTCTGCATCCGTGTGAAAACAAGACTCAAGTGGTTACTTCTGAACAGTGAATTGCAGTTCAGTGTGTTTCCCTGTTCAAGTACAAGTTCAGTTACAGCTAGACGGTTTGTTTCTGCACAAATGAAAGCCACATCTGTCTGACTGGAGACAAGGCAAACTGAAAGATTGTTTCCTTTACTGAAAAGTTCCTTTTCCAAGTGAAAATACTTGTTCTGCAAGTCACATCCTAGAACTATTTCAAGAGTTTGTGGTGGTTTTGGTTTGGTTGTTTTTTTGTTTTGTTTTGTTTTGTTTGTTTTTTTTTTTCTTTTTTCAATCTGCCACTGCTCCTTTTCTGAGGAACTGCTTATAAGCTTCTACAATCATGCAAAAGGCTACCCAAACCATCCTTCTGTCACAATGCCTCAGGCTCTGGATGTGCCAGTGTTCAACACTCCAAGTCTCAATCTCAGGCCAAAGGCTGAGAACGGCCCTGCTGTCAAACAGAAGTGACAGTCCTCACTTTGGCAGACAAAGCTTGCTTAAACCTTCTCTTCAGATCTTGCATGTTGGGTGATTTTGGTCGTGGAATAAGAGAAGTTCTCCTTCTCTCGGGGGTACTGGTTGTTTGCTGTTTACTGACTTCTTTACAGAGGAGGTGGAAGGCATTGAAGATGTCATTGTAGTTCTCACTGACAGATACTTCGTAGAAAGAACAGCCCAGCATGTTGGCCAGCTGAAGTCCATGCTGAGGATCCACCTCTTTGATATGCAAGAGATCAGCTTTGTTTGCAAGTATGACAACAGGGACTGTGTTTCCTGGATGCAACTGTCGAATGTGATGGTAAAGGTGACTGAGTAGCTCATAGCTCTTATAGTCTGTGATGGAGAAGACAATCACCAGAGCATCTGCCCAGCGAATGCATCTGTTCAGCTGCTCGTTACAATGCAGACTGTGTTCATGGACCTGAAAAATGAATGGTCCCAAATTAGATAGCTGAAGTCATGAAAGATTAAAGGAACCGGTCTCTAAGAGTCTAAAGCCAAACAGCATTTTACAGCTTCAGATGTACGTATTTGCATTGCACGTTGTGAGTACAAACTCAACCTGAGCGTGGTGAATAAATGCCTATGTTGATTCAGCTGCAAAAAGCTGGAATTTAACACTGGAGTTTGCTATACACAAATGGAAAATTGACCTGAGTAGTTCTTCATGCAGAGAAGGACTTTGTAGTTCCACAGAATGGGAAATTAACTGGCTAGACAGCAAGTCTGGGGAAGCAAAGATATGAGCTGGAAGCATTTAGACCTGGAGTGTTGCCCAGTTCGAAAAGGCAACAATCCAGCATTACTCAGGTCTATATATATGTTCAGGACTTTAACTTTTGACACACTACTGAGCACAGCCACAATACAGCAGACTTGACTTTATACCATACACATTTATGAAGCTTGGGCAGTGGTCATATGTTCTTCCACATGTATGTTATTTGCCAGGAATCGATTCTACTTTTGTGTCTAATGCTCCAAATATATAGGAACAAGACACTTAAGTAATTCAGCCACTCAAAATTAATGGGCCTCCACTGTATAAATGATTCACCAGAACAGTGAATTTTTTTCGTTTACTACCACCATATTACAGGCACACAACACATCTGGCTCCACTGGTTGTAACACCAAGAAGTTGCCACCTCTCCCACACAGAACACCAAACTCTGAAATGGACCGTCACAAGATGCTGCACAGAGGGACACACACACACACAGGTTTAGAGCTGCTCTGGTGAACTGCGTGGCAGCATCTAGCTCACCTGAACTCCTGGAGTATCTTGCACTTGAATAGCCAACATCTCTCCATCTATCTGGATGTGCCTGCTGTAGAGATTACCTGCCAAGAACACCAACAGGTTGACAAGTACAGCCACCACTCACCACTCTACACAGACCAGTGCTGCTGCTGCCACCTATTACTTGCACAAGACAAGCTGTATCGCTGCTTATGAAGCGAGGGACCAGCATTAAAAGTTTTTTTCTGTGTTAACAACCCACAATTTTTTTACTTTACTAGACTGCTGGGATTCAATCTTGCACTGGCTTGTTTTGAAGCCTGGCAATTATTACTGTGCAACTTGGAACTCAGTTACTTTTTAAAGGCTGTCTTAGCTTTGATGATAAAGCTAAGTGTGCAACATAACCAGCTTTTAGTAGAAAGAAGCTATTTGCTAGTCATTTAGTATTTCCACACTTTAGTGAAGCTCTCTGCTGGTCAGCCTGTAAGATTTGTTGCGTTTTTCATAAGTTTGGCTTTTTCAAGTCATTTCCCCGGCAGAATTAGCCTGACGATAGACTAGACTTCCCGCTGTACTGTGCTCACGCAAGTACACCACATCCCCTCCTCGCCCTCCCCATTGAGCTGGCACTGTTCCCCTGTCCGCTCCCCTCGCCCAGGGCTGCGAGAGTCCCACGGGGAACAAGTTTTACGCGGGCTGCCGGCCTCGGAACGGCCCCGCGGACTGTGCTGCCGGTGATATCCGTCAGGCGCACCGAGAGCCCCCGGTTTATGTTCTTTCTTTGACAGCCGGGACCCGGCTCGGCGCTGCGTTTTGGCTTGCCGATCGCCAGGACTCGCCAGCTCCCGGCGGCCAG